TCCTTCCACCGTGTGGGTCCTGAGGACCAAACTCAAGTTGTTGGACTTGATGGCAAGAGCCATTCCACCCAGTCCTCTGCAGAACGTTTGAGTGGCTCTGCATATACATGGGCATATACTTTGGTAGAGCTAGAAAATGCATCTCTACATCCAACTAAGTACTTTAACATTTTAAATAAAAAGCAGCGAGAGCGGGGCTGGAGAGGCGGTCCAGCAGGTACTAGAGTTCAGTTCCCAGAACCTATATCCGACAGCTCACACGTGACTGTAACTCCAATTCCTAGAGACCGGATGCCCTCCTGTGCTGATGTACACACAGACACACGTACACACGTAATTAAAACAAGGCCAGATGTGGTGGCACATACCTTTAATTCCAGCACTTGGGAGGCAGAGACAGCGCTCTGTGAGTTCAAGGCTATCCTGGTCTACAGAGCAAGTTCCAAGACAGCCAAGGCTGTCTAGAAACCCTTTCTCAAAAAAACCCCCAACAAAACAGTAATAGTATACAACAGAACCTGAAGCCAAATGCTGGCATGGACAATATTTGAAAGAACTTAGTCCACTCATGTGATGACTACTTAGCAGAGGTGCTGTGAAAAACCAAGTGCTTCATATGTAAAAGCAATTCAGAAGAGTGTCCGGCCACTCTGCAGCATTGGTTTTTTTTTTAATATTTATTTATTTATTATGTATACAATATTCTGTCTGTCTGTATGTCTGCAGGCCAGAAGAGGGCACCAGACCTCATTCCAGATGGTTGTGAGCCACCATGTGGTTGCCGGGAATTGAACTCAGGACCTTTGGAAGAGCAGGCAATGCTCTTAACCACTGAGCCATCTCTCCAGCCCCCAGCACTGGGTTTTATACTTTACCAACTGACCTCAAATATTTCCACGACAGTATATTTCCCTGACCCTTATGAGTGTTGCTTATTTGCAGAAGCTTTTGGATTGTGTCAATCTGAAGGGAATAAAGAAGACTATGCTATTCAGACTTTAATTTCTTCCTGCCTGCCTGCTCAGAGTCTGACTATATAGCTCTGGCTGTTCAGGAACTCGCTCTGCCGACCAGACAGGCTGGCTTCAAACTCACAGAGATCCCCCTGCCTCTGCCTTCTGAGTGCTGGGATTCAAGGCATGCACCACTCTGCCCAGCTCTATCTTAAGTTCCTTCCATCCCACCCTGGCTCTCAATACCTTCTCAAACTGTGCAGCTTTTCCGACCTTATTTCATACCACCCTAAACAGACCCGCTAATTCTCAGAACCTCAAAGGATTTTCCGACCTTATTTCGTACCATCCTAAACAAACCTGCTAATTCTCAGAACCTCGAAGGATGTTCTTGGCTCCGTGCTTATATTCCAATGGCAACTCTATCACTTCTGAACTTGCCGGCTGAAGTATGGGAGACCCAGTTACATTTAATTTCAGAAGCATAACAAATGTGTTCACTGCCCTTTTCCTTGTAAACTCTAGCAACTCTCCACTCTGAATTTTCCTTACTCAGTTACTACTGGAATAAAGCCCCGGTTGGGCAGGAGCTGGGTCTTTGTACTCTCCATCAGGCCAAGCACGTAATGCTTTTTCTGGAATTATCTGCTGAAAGCATTATCTTCCCCTGATAAAGGCAGGGATTCTGCCTTCCCCTTCCTCCTTACTTAATCACCACCAGCAGCACTGATTTAACATTACCTACTGTGTCCCATACACACAAACGCACACTCACGCACGTGCACACACACATACGTTCATTACTACTATACTGTTAGCTACTAATAGCTATTTTATCTTCATGGGTTTATTATATATGGAACAGGTATTCCAGGTTTAGCGGTGCACACCTTTGATGCAAGAACTCAAGAGGTAGAGGCAGACAGATCTCCATAAATTTGAGGTTACCTTGGTCTACACAGAGTTCCAGCTACAAGTGAGACCTTGTATTTCAAAAGAGGGTGGGGTTGTAGTATAACTGGTCCCAGACCTTAGCACAACTGATTCCATGATGGAAATACCATTCAGGCCATAAAACTTAGCACATTTACTGCATCATCTGCCAAATCAAAAACAAAGTCCTAATCCACCAAAGTCTGGGAAAAGTCTTACTTTTTGGCTTCTGTAGTTCCAATTCTATCTAATGGTTCTTGTTAAGTATGTCAACTCAGGGTATGGCTTTTGTGCTTAAAAGTTCACCCTGAGAAAGGCTCAGCTAAGGACGACACTTGGACACTTGCTAGCTAATGGAGACTTCTATTGGCTTAAACTTGTGTCTGCCCTTCTCTGGTGGATACCCCACAACAGAGGGATGCAATCCAGTTTGGTTAATCTCATATGTGCTGTTCACTGAATAACTGTACAACAATAGAACAGTTATTTTATTTCTCTCTCTCTCTCTCTGTTCCCCCCCACACACCAGACAGGGTTTCTCTGTAGCTTTGGAGCCTGTCCCAGAAACTAGCTCTTGTAGACCAAGCTGGCTTTGAACTCACAGAGATCCACCTACCTCAGCCTCTAGAAGTGCTGGGATTAAAGGTGTGCACCACCACTGCCTGGCAGGTGGTGTAGGAAGGTCTTCTGTCTATGTGTTACTTTCGTTGGTTAAATAAACTGCCTTGGCCTCTAGATAGGACAGCAGCTTAGATAGGCGGAGTAGACCAAACAGAACGCTGGGAGAAAGAAAACAGAGTCAGGTAGACACCATGGCTCTCAGACCTGAGATGGACATAGGTTAGAATCTTCCCAGTAAGCCACATCATGGTAAACACAGATTAATAAAAATGGGTTAATCAAGATATGAGAGTTAGCCAGTAAGAGGCTAGAGCTAATGGGCCAGGCAGTGTTTTAAATGAATACAGTTTCCGTGTAGGGCTGGAGAGATGGCTCAGCAGTTAAGAGCATTGCCTGCTCTTCCAAAGGTCCTGAGTTCAATTCCCAGCAACCACATGGTGGCTCACAACCATCTGGAATGAGGTTTGGTGCCCTCTTCTGGCCTGCAGGCATACATGTAGACAGAATATTGTATACATAATAAATAAATATATTAAAAAAAAGTTTCCATGTAATTATTTCAAGTAAAGCTAGCCCGGAGCCGGATGGCAGGAAGTGGCCCACTGCTCCTTTTACTACAGGCAAGTTATAAAATCTCTTTTCTGTCTCAGCTTTTCATCTACAGCAGCAAATAAGTAGATTAAGTTAGTTAAGTTTGAATCAATTGTGCTGGTGAGAAAGTTCAGGAGATAAAGGTGCCTCTTAGGACCCACATGGTGGAAGCAAAGAATCAACTCCCATAAATTGTCCTCTGTTCTCCACATATGCACTGTGGCACATGATCAAATGTATACACACACACACACTCCACATGTGCACTGTGGCACATCAAATGTACTCACACACACGATTTTTTTTAATTTAAAAAAGATTAAATCACTTAAGATTTAATCAGACAACCCACATGATGTACTTAGCATATTGCATGCCAGCCATCGTGACATAGAGTTAGGAACTTCTTATCCGTCCACTAATGTGCATGAGCAGAGATGTATTTTAGAGATGGAACAGTGATGGGTAAAGGGCTTATGGTTCATTCCTGTTTTCACAGATCTTCACATTTAGCCTAAGAGCCAGTAATTAGGAAAAAAAGGGCATGTGTTAAGTATGTAATTAAAAACTGTGAAAGAAAATACTGGGAGCTGTAAGATTTTATAAAAAGAGCTGGAGAGATCGTTTGGTTAAGAGCATTTGCTGCTCCTCCAGAGGACCCAAACTGGATTCCCAGGACTCACAAGGCAGCTCACAACCATCTGTAATTCCAGTTCCAGGGGACAGCATGCCCTTTTCCAGTCTCCACACGCACCACGCACTGCATGCACATGGTACATAGACACTCATGCAGGCAAAACACTCATACACATAAAATATATCTTTAAAAGCATCTATAGAAGAAATACTATGTTGGGCTGGGGAAAGAGTAAGTACCTGTGGGCTGAGGAAAAGGAAAACTAAGAATTTCAATTCTGTGACATGGCAAAGGTTTCATCTTGGTGTCTTACCCAGTCTGAAGTGGAGTCATTCCGATACAGCGGTCAAACACCAGTTCACAGTCTATAGGATACGCTCACCCCTTTCAACTATACAGTAGTAACTAATGCACCCCACGGTCCAGTTTGGGGTATTTTCATCCCACCAAAACGATCCATGATCCATTCCCACCCCAGACCCTGGTATGTCTAGTTATTCACGTGTACTTTATTGAGACAAAATGACCTTGCAAACTCAGGATAACTCAAATGAAAGCCAGGCTAGACTCCCGGTGCACGTTTGTACGGTAGTGCGTCAGGGTCAAACCCGGCTGGGTATGTGACCATAGGCTTTTCTCATTCCCTGGACAAAAAGCAGCAGGCGGCTGGGCGATGGTGGCGCACGCCTTTAATCCCAGCACTTGGGAGGCAGAGGCAGGCGGATCTCTGTGAGTTCGAGACCAGCCTGGTCTACAGAGCTAGTTCCAGGACAGGCTCCAAAAAGCCACAGAGAAACCCTGTCTCGAAAAAAACAAACAAACAAACAAACAAAAAAAAGCAGCAGGCGCCTCTGTGCTCGGAGCAACTAGCATCCGAGGACCAGGCGAAGTCATGTGCGCACGCGCAGCCCCCGGGGAGCTGATAAACGCAACCGAAATCTTCTCCAGACCTCTCGGTTCAGCCGTTGGAACGCTGCCATTTGGAATCTGAATACCCACGCGTGATACCTACAGAACCCACACCTGGAAGGAGGTCACTCCTCTTCTCCCCCACCGGCTGTCCGTCCCCGAGACCCTCTGGCTGCGAAGACGTTCAGGATCGCTCCCGCTCTCGGCCACACCCCTAGCTGCTAATATTGCGTCTGGTTGGCTGACAAAAGCTTCGGTCCCGCCCACTTGAGACAACGCCAGCAGCCACGTACGCATTTTTACGTGTCTCGCCCCCGAAAGCGGAAGTTGCGCAGTCGCGGCTAGCGCTGCGGCGGCGCCGGGCGTGTGTGTTTATATATATATATATACACACACATATATGTGCTGTAGTCAGCTGCAGCGCGGGGGCGGCACACGGCATTAGAAGGCGCCGGAAGTGTCCGTGTCGAGGGGCGGCGGGAGAGGGGCCACCAAGGCAAGCCAGTCAGCGGAGCTGGGCGCAGCGGCGAGACGCGAGTCCGCCGCGTCCCGAGTCCCCGGCCCAGCCGGGCTTTTCTCTTCGGCCAGACATGGACTTCAGGGAAATCCTGCTGATCGCTTCCAAAGGACAAGGTGTCAACCATGTACCGGTGAGTCTCCGGGCTTGCAGTAGGAATCCCGGGCGTCAAGTTCGTATGTGACGGGTGGAACTTCTAAGCAAGTGCCTATCGGCCTCGGAAACTTGGTCTACGCCCTCTTCTGGAGTTTATCCGGAGATGCGAAAGGGGAGCTTTTTGGGGGATTAGTTTCCGCCAAGCCATGTTCCCCGAAAGGTGGAATTTGCGGCTTGGGGGATTTTAGAGTTGCGCAAAGTGGGTGAGTGAGCCGCGCCTGGCAGGATGCTGTCTAGCAGTAGTAGCGCCTGGCTTCGAAAAAAACTTCAGCCCCTATATTGAAGACCAATATAGCCAGAGAGCTCGGGCACTTTAAGGACTTGGCCCGATACAGCTTTTTGGGTCTTTTTGGCGAGTCTAATACCGGTTTCAGCGTGATTTCTTGGAAAGGTTCTCTTGTTCGTGGCCCCACCCACTGAGCCAAAGATATTATCACCTGCCAAAGAGGTGTCTTAAGTAGGGAAGAGAAGTTAGAGCATTTCAGGAAACCCAAGGCCAACTGTGAGCTGACCACGTGGGCTGCGGGTGTGTGGTAGACCTTTTATTTGCCTAAGGTGCGTGATGGATTTCCTGTTCGAGCGGGTTAGGCAAAGCCGATTTCAGCTTTCGTTTCCTAGTGGACTTGCAGATTTTTAGATTCCGTTTGCACAGTTCCAGAGCTAAGTGCTAAAGTGGTCCGACATCTGGTTTCGGGGGTTATAGCTGTTTTGCATAAACTAATCATTTCTGGATCATCAGAAGGTCCCCCAGCACAGCTGTAAACCGATATTTCGCGTTTTGATATTTGCGGTTTGATCAGTGAAGTGTCCAACTCAAAACACCTCTCTTCGATTCAGTCAGCTGAAATTTGAGATCTCACGTGGACTCTTCATTTCCTAGTTTTGTATATTGCAGGTTTTTTTGCCCCTCTCTGAAAGCCTGAACTCTTAGCACTTGAGAGGTACAGGATGATGTTCTCACCAGGTGTTCAAGATCCTTAACTACAAAGCAGTTAGTTGTAAACCAGCCTAAGCTACATGAGCCCATGTCTCTAAATAGCTAAATTAGTGCTACCATCCAGCTCAAGAAGCATTTTGATAAATACACACACACACACACACACACACACCGCTGTGTGTCATGCATAATATGATCTACTTGGCCTAAACCTGATTAGGGAATCAAAGGACTTTGAGTAACTGACAGCATCCCTTTGTGTGCTTGGTCCTCCCCCCCCCCCTTTAGCTATTTCTCCCCTCACCTTCTTGGATCCTATCTGAACTTTAGAGTTCTTAGACCTACCTTTGTTGAGGAAAGCTAACCAGACTAATGATGGGTAAAAGCCAGTAGGTAAACATGTTGGCCTGTCACAGATGTAGGTGTCTGTATCTGGCTGCAGAGCTACAGTTGTTTACCCTTTTCCTGGAGCACTTGGCACTAGAAGTATTCTGCGTGTCAGATTTTCCCCCCACAATTTTGTGATATTTATATAAATATAATGAAATATGAGAATAGGAATGGTGTCTAAACACAAAATTAATCTGTTTCATATGTATGTTTATAATTTATGTAGTTTGGAGATATTTTTAGTTTTTTTATTCTTCGACAATTTCATCTACAAATAATGATAATTATTGTTACCCTCCATTATCCTCTCATCCCTGTCCCACTATACCTCTTTCTCCCACGCCCCTCTCCTACTTTCATGACGTGTGTGAGTGAGGAGTGAGACAGAGAGAGAGAGAAAAAGAGAGAGAGCTCATTGGGTTCGAATAGGGTCACTTGCATGAGCATGCGTGAGCATGGGCAGTTTACCAGAGACTCAACCGCTAAAGAAATGACTCTCCTCCCTGAGCAGCTGCTGCCCCCTAGCTCATCAACCTTTATTTACTATCAAGGAGCAATGAGCCCTGTCTTAAGTTACTTTCCTGTTGCTGTGATAAGACACATGACTGGGCAACATATAGAGCAGTTTATTGTTTACAAGGTCAGAGTTCATGACCATCATGGCACAAAGCATGGCAGCAGGCAGGCAGGGATGGTGCTGGAGTAGAAGCTGAGAGCTAACTGGAAATGTCATCTTATGAAACCCCAAAGCCTAGTGACACAGCTCCACCAACTGGGGACCAAATATCCAAACATGTGAACTCATGGAGGCCATTATCATTAGAACTATCACAGGTCCCATGGGCCCCTCTCCTATACATGATGTTGGGAATGTCAGCTCTATCTTGTGTAGATTTTGTTCAGGTAACCAGAGCTTGAAGATTACTTTCATACAATATTTTTAAAACAATTTTCCTTTTTTTTTTTTAACTTACTTTATGTATGTGGGTGTTTTGTTTTGCCTGCATGTACGATTGTGCAGATGTGCAGTGCAGTGCCCCAGAGTCTAGAAGAGGGCATTAGATCCAGTTGGTCCACGGGTGTTGTGGAAAGATGGGGACAGACCACCGAAGTCTAGTAAACCAGAAACAAACTTTATTCCAGGAAAATAAAATTAAAAAAATAAATCTCCATGGGGCACAAAAAGCTTACCAGCTAGCCGAGACCACAGCCAGCGTTCATTCTCCTAAGGCTGTGGCAAAGGCCAGCTTCCAGACTCCTCCTTTTATAGCAAGCATTAGGCAATAACAAAAGAACTTTTACAGTCTCAAGGTAAAACTCAGACACAAATTGCCCTTCTTTGCAATTTCCATTAACAGAGTTTTTCAGTTAAACTAGTGTTTGTATTTAGTCCATTGTTTACCAAGGCTCTGCACCTCCCCTGCCACTGCCAGTTTCACATGGCAGGGAAGGGTATGGGACAATGTAAAACCAAACAGTCAAAAGTCACGTCCATCCCATCATTTAAAAGTTACCTCAGCTCACATCAATTGCTGGCCATGAGTGGCCAGGGGGTATCTAAAAGCTGATTCTCAGTTTGCAGAGCGACCCTAAGTTTGCAGAGGGCAGCTTCGGCCTCACAAATAGAGCTATAGGTTGTAAAGCGGAGTAAGCTGCTGTTAATAGTTAATCCTTAAGCTGCTGAGAAAGCCGCTGACAGTCTGCTCTCATTCTCCTGGGCTTACAACTTTATTTCTACTTATTTTTGGAATCTACGTTTTTATATTCTTTATTCTTGTACTCTTCAATCTCCTGGAACTGGAGTTACAGAGGATATGTGTGCTAGAAACTGCCCCTCAATCTTCGCAAGAGCATTATGTGTTCTTAAGCACGGAACACTGAGAGTGCCTCTGCGTTAACTTCAGCCCATGGTGTGAAATTTTCAACTTGTGCTGTCCTATTGTTAAAGGGATCAGAGTTTTGAGTTGGGTGTTTCCAGATCCTTGGCCTCTTATCCAAAAAGTTGAAAATAAGGGCACACACATACATTTGCAAAAGAAACATGATGATTTTATTTAGCACAAAGCAATAAGATAATACTTGACAGAACAAGAGTAAAGGTACTCAGGGCCCCAGGATGCAGCCTGGGGAAAAGGGACCTGGTTTACTATGAATGCAGTTAGGGTAGGTTCTTTATCTTGATTGATGGATGGGTTATATAATCATTTCTCTACTGTGCATGTCCCTCCCTATAATGCATCTGATTTTAATTCTGTCCATTCCTCCAATTATGCATAGGCATAAGATGGTAAGTAGAGATTCTCCCTGGGTTACAAGACAATGCAATTTTTCCTTACTGTGCATGCTCTGAAAACCAGTTTAAGCTCAATTGGCCCTTCTAATTGCCAGTACCTGGAAACTGGAAATACTTTTAAATAAAAAATGTAAATTTAGCCAGGCGGTGGTGGCGCACGCCTTTAATCCCAGCACTCGGGAGGCAGAGGCAGGTGGATCTCTGTGAGTTCGAGACCAGCCTGGTCTACAAGAGCTAGTTCCAGGATAGGCTCCAAAACCACAGAGAAACCCTGTCTTGAAAAACCAAAAAAAAAAAAAAAATGTAAATTTGATTGTTACCAGTGGCTGGGAAAGTATCCCATTGTTCAGAGTTGGGAGATCGTGTAACCCATACAAGTGAGGGATTGTGTGGGTCTGAGGTTGCTAGGTACATTGCAGTGGCTATGTGCGCATAGTATGTGCAAGTAGTGGAAGCAGCCTGCCAAGTGCATTGTGCCAGGGTTTGAGAGTAAGCCAAAACCAAGTGGGGTCTCAAACCAAGCTGTCTCCTATGACTTACCTGACTACACTATCAGTCCTCAAAACATCTCAGATTCTGGATCATGTTGGATTCTGAATTTTTGTATTAAGGATGCTCAGCTTGTACTAACATTTCCTTCACTGTTCTTGTTTTGAAATGAAACAATCATCCTAATGTTTTAGTTAAAACAAAGGTAAGATTGCACTATGTGTGTAAGTGTTAGGCACACACTCTTCTCAGTGGAATTCTGAATACAAAAATAACAGCTGATCAAGATGATGCAACCAGTCATTGCCACTGGCTTTTTTTTTTTTTTAAAGACAGGATTTCACTCTGTAGCCTTGGTGGGCCTGTGGTACTCATTATGTAAGCCAGACTAGCCTCAGATCTGCCAGCTTCTGTCTCCCAAGTGCTGGGATGGTTCCTTGTGAAGAATGGTGTGGGTTAACAAAAGTTTTTGCTGCAGTAGTGATTGCTCTACAGAAACTGGATCTTGGCCTTCTGGGAGAGCTGACAAGACATCCCTGGTGTCTCAGCTGCTCTCCAGGGTAGAGCAGTGCTTCTAAACCAGTGCTTTAAGGATGGAAGCTGCCTTTAGGAACTAGGGTTTATGTTTCCCAGCAGGGATTCTGTTGTCTCTCTGCAACACCTTAGAGAATCTCTTTCTAAATAATGGTGATAGCAATTAATATTCGTTGTGCTGAGCCTTTGCCAGGTATTGTTCTAAGCACTTCATATGTTAATTAATTTAGTCGCCGTAATGAGCCTATGAAAGAGATTTTACAGATGACAAAACAGGCCTAGTGCCGGGCGGTGGTGGCACACGCTTTTAATCCCAGCTCTCGGGAGGCAGAGG